TATGAGAATGTATTGATTATGGATTAAAATTAAAATTACTTATTTGATTTAATGGATTTATTGAATTTGATGGTTATAAATTAAAATGAAAATTATTTATTTACTTAATTTGATACATTTCGTCAAGATAATTTTAATTCATCAATATTATATTGACGAAATGTATCAAATTAAGTAAATAAATAATTGTGATTTGTTGCATTTATGTGTGCTTAAGATAAAACACTGCCTGAGAAAGGAAGGTATAGAACCCGAAGGGAAGAAAATGAGGTATATAACGTTGTCGGAAGCTCTAAAGGATCTTGTATGAATCTTATAAAATCGTACAAGGACTGCCATTAAGATCGTACAAGAATCGTACAGTACGATTTCATCTGAAATGGTGGCTTTGAGGTAATCGTACAAAATCGTACAAGATCATATACGATTTTCATACGATCTTGTATGAACGTACAAGATCGGCGTACGATCTTATACGATTCTTACAAGATCATATAAGATCGTACAATCGGATTCTTTCACCTGGGCAATTTATTTGGAAGAGAAAGAGAACCAAAAAAAAAATAAAATTCATCATCATATTGAGTTCATTTGATATTAAATTTTTGTACTCGATCATTTCCGAAATCGACGACATAGAGATTGCCATGTCGATCAAATGATAAACCTGTGGGACCATTGAGTAGATTTGACCATGCTCCTGAACCGTTTCCACCAACAATGACACTTCCTTGTGTGGCTCCTTTTGGCCAATGCATAATTCGATGATTCCCATCATCAGCCACATAGACAGTACCCAATTGATCGACAACGAGTCCTTGAGGATGATTCAATTGTGTGAGACTATTGCCTTGTCCTTGACCACCTACTACGACAAAGCCTTGTTTTGAACCTTCTTCCCATTTCATTACACGATGATTTTCATAATCAGACACATAAGCTGAATGATCTCGATCGACAAATACGTAGTGGGGATTAGAGAGTTGATCGAGACGATTTCCTTCTCCATTGCCACCTGCAACTACTGTTCCTTTAGTGTCACCAATTTTATATCGTCTCACTTCATGTTTTTCATCGTCAACGACATAGAGATAACCATTGTCGTCCATTGTCAAACCATGGCAAGTGATATTCGAAATAATAGTTTCTCCAAGAGTAGCATTTCGACGAGGCCAACGAACTATTCTGTTATTCCAGTAATCGCTGATGATGAGACTATCGCTCTCTTTGTCGATAATCACATCATATGGGTAGCTTAATTGATGAGCTCCATTTCCATCTTCATTCCCACCAGCAACTACTGTGCCATTCGTTGCACCAGATGTCCATTCCATAATACGATGATTTTCACAATCAGCGACATAAATCGTCTGATCGTCGTCGACGTACAAACCCCATGGGTTAGCAAATTGATTGATTCCACTGCCATATCCATTTCCTCCAGCAACAGTTATACCATTCGTTGACCATGTTGCATTCGGATGGATATCAATGGAACTCGCACGTAGTGGTACTAAAATGAAACAAAAGTATGGCGTAGAAATAAACATCAATGTCATTGAAATGAGGTCTTCTCATCTGTTTTAAACATTATTGAACTGCTCTAAATTACAAAAGCTTTTTACTTATGAACTTGATTAGAATCTGGCTTTTCTCAATGTTTAAAACAAACATTGTTGATGTTCTCAAATATTTTGTGTAAGAATCGTTAGTTTGACTAAAACTAACTAAAATTTAACTGGTAATGTGAAAATTTGTGATTAACTCGAATTTTATCGTAACTGGAATTTTCTTTGATATCCAATTTTTTCAACATATTCACTGATTCCGTTAGTTCGATTTTGAAATATATTTAAAAATTATTTCATTTTTTATTGTTGGGATTTTACAATAAAATGAGTTATAATAGAATTTGAACGTAAGGAAAAACAATTTTGTTATCAGTTGATAGGAAACGGTGTATGATTTATGTTCGTCACACATTTCTGAGTGAAATGAGATAAAATAAATTTGCCACTTTTATATGAATTCGTTAAAAACATCTTGCTAGATAATAACGATAGTTAATTATACGTAACTACCATGCATAAGACGTTTTTGACTGATTCATATAAAAAAATTACAAATTTTTTGTGTAAGTATTTTTCTTTCTTGTTCCATTTACGAATGTGTGACAAATATAAATCATACACCATTCGAAAGTATTTTATGCCATTAATTTTGCATCATACTTATTATTGAGTAATTTATTCCTGAATCTCAAACAAACAAGTAGTTTGTAGAAAGGCTAATCGAAGTGCTAAATAAGATAAGTTTAGATAAAATAATACGTAAGTTCGAATTTTAGTAGATAAGAAGAACTCAAAAACAAATCTTTCCCAAGTTCAAGAATATTTGAAGAATCTGTCATATTCATTATTCTGCATTGTAGCACAAACAATAATCTATATACGAATCAATCAAATCTTTTATTTTGAATTCATCTCTAATGTATTACAAATTGTCAACTTAACAGGGTATGGAACACGCTTTTTTAAACAATAGTAGTTTCGATCACGGATCGATTTTGAACTTTCTACAATTAAATATTTTCACTTCTTTACAAGACAATACAAATCTCCTATTGAAACCTTGATCTAAAATCTTTGCAAGTTTGTGTTTTGTAGGTTATTCAATAGGTATAAATTTTTGAGGATTCTCACAAAAAAAACAATGATCGTAAAAGATTTCATCATGATTTTAGCTATTCTCAATAGCAATAAGTGTGAAGATTTCTTCTTCAAATTTTTATTGGTGGTGTAGAATTTTCTAAAGGTTGATATTGATATTGATATGAGCTTTAAACTAGAAACAATACTTCTATGATTATATCTTGTATGGTCAGTTACGGAACCGATGAAGTTAATAAAAAATGTCATGCAGTTTTATAAAACTCCCTAAAAATAATTTAAATAATTTCATCCTTATTAATTTATCTATGAAGAATCTAGCTATAATCGAGATCTTGATTAAATTTAATACTA